GTTTCAAAGATGTAAGAGACAAACACAAAGGTAGAAAGAAGGTGAGGTGAGTACTGTGGAAATAGTCGAATATGGCATAGAGTGAGGTGATGGTAGTTTGAAGTGAGAAGTCAACTGCCAGTTAATAAACTTTTTGCCGTATCAATATACGTTGCCCAGGGTGCACCACGTGGAGGTAAGTCTATTTCACACCCCCTTGTACGATTAAGTCGATTACAATATTCTCAAAGTATTCTGATGATTTGCTACGTTCTTTTTAAAGGTGGAGCTTATGCGTCAACAATTCAGACTCCTTTATAATTATTTAAAGCTTTTCAGTTTAAAATAATGTTTCAATGTCAAAAAACTCAACTTTTTACAGACTCTCACGTTGGGGAGGGGGGGGGGAGGGAGGTCTGGATTTTCTTTAATATCCTACCTGGATCCTTAGGCATTCGTGTTTGGAATTAGTTATTACCATTAGTGGAATTTATTTAAGGAGCACTATAATTGTTAAAAGTTTATCACCGAAATGACTTGCATGTTCATTTAGAGAAAATATGTGCAATCAAAAAGATGGTTATCGAGGAAAAGTGCCAATTTTTTCAATATATCAACGACAACTTTAATTTATCACAAAATGATAAAATTTTAAAATTAGTTTTAATACTTCACATATAGTTCCACTTTGCTCAGATCTTGCAATGTGTCAATATAAGTGACATGATTCAGAATACAGGTTATTACAAATTATTAGGATCTTCAATACACAAAAGTAAGTCCTATAAGCATTAAGGCGTGTTCATTTTGATGTGAAAACCTAGTAATTATCGCCACTTGACTTAACTCTCAGGTAAGGTGAATTTATTTTTAAACCACCACCATTATTACTTTATCTCACTCGGAATCATTAAATTTCAAATATTGCGTTAACAATGTTCCTCCATCCTAATCTATGCTTTCTATAATGATCGAAGAGCTGCTGTTTCCGTCTTGAATTGAACTAGATACCCTACTTTAAGTTAGATAGAAAATTAAATGAAGAGACATTACTATGGGAGTGCAAATGAGTTTTAAAGTCAGTTATGGTAAGCAGACTTCTCCTTGTGTTAAGAGACATTTTTTCGGCTCAAAAGGGTATGAATATGAAAGTGAATGTCAAAATATGTCGTCTACTCAATTTCATACTTAGATTTTTGGAGCATGATTTTAGTCTAAACCCCAGATCGAAGACCCGTACTTCTGTGTTAGCATAAGATTACTTTTGAGAAGCAGCCATTTAATTCAAGGTGTGAAATTGTTGTGGCAATCTCCCTCAACATCAAAAGCCACCAATTCAATGTCCATCAGTGTATGTAAAGGTAAGATGAATGCTCAGCCACCGTAATTAAGTTTGCGCACTATTAGAGACTTGCAGAACTCGATTCATACAAGGCAGACTGCATTATGCTTGTGATTATTGAATTTGTACTTTACTGGATTTGTATCTGGATTGTTGCTAATGCGTTTCCTTTAGAGGTTGGATTGGGGGAGGGGAGGGGGGTGGAGAAAGAAACATTTGACCCTTTCAGGGCATGGACGCCATAATGACTGAATAAGGTAAAGTATTATGTCATCCCATCAAAGTAAGTGCTTACTACGTTCCTCAACCACCCCTAAGGTATGAATGACTAATAGCGAACACCAACTTCAAGGTTATCTTTTCCACCAAGAAGGAAGCTTTCGTACTTTGGTTGCCCTTTACTTGATCAATTAGCCATTTTATAAAGTCATTTCATCTAAAGTTATCGAGATTGTGCAATTTAAGAGGTAAGTTCTAGATTTATATTGAATTAATTGGACCTACTCAGAGGCAACTATGCCAGAGCAATTGAAAAAAATTAATTTTGTTTAAGAAATTGATATTATCATTTTAATTTCCATACTCAACTAAAACTGATAGTCCAAGTTGTTTACCTAATGCAGGAGGCTATCTTTTTTACCGCTGAAGTAACAGGGTATATATTTTATAAATTTAAAAATATATAATTAATGCTGCTAAATAACTTATCGATATGATGTTGGGACATTAAAAAACGAAATTAATAAGGAAATTGTATATTTGCATGAAAGTCAAACAGCCAATGCCGAATCAAGGGGGGGGGGCGGATTTGTTTGTCTTTAATACGTAATTTGATAAGAAGATTCGGGATGAATTGTGAATTCAACAAAGAAAGAATGAGCTTCGTCTACTTTCCAAGTCGGAGGAGTCGAACAGCCCGTTTGCGTATGTCTCCAGGTGATTCATCAAAATATTGATCCAAGATCTCTTTGGCTTCGGCCAATTTCTCGTCCACTGCGGCTTTCACAGACAATTCTGGAATATCTCCATCTCGACTATGGGGATGTGCCTCGGTCGAAAAATCTAGCATTTAGATCACAAATGTGTTAACTATAGTTTCGAATAATTTAATCAAACTGAATATAAGAAAAAAATCCATTCGAAATTTTCTTGTAAAGATACATAATAGTAAGAAAGCATAAAACTTAATTTGGTAATAAAAATGTTAATTTTAGTTGATTTAAAGTGATTTTATTTAAATTGTCAAGGACTTTAAATATTTGCATTGATTTATTTAATGAGCACTTTAATAGCTGACACTCTCAAAATAACAAGTACGGAGTCTTGCACATTTTCGAGTATTTGTTAGTCAACAATTATTTTAAACTTGTTTAGTTGGATTTTACTTTATTTTAATTATTAATAATAATTTGGAAAACGAGAATTGATAATTACCGGAGAGCAGTAGTACAACTGCGAATGAGGCTAAGAAAAGCTTCATGTTAATGAATTGGTTGAACATATTTACTACAATAAACAAATAAAATATGAATATAAGTATTTTCATAGTAATAGGATGAGCTGATAAAAAAATTTTGTGAAATTCACAATACCTTTCTTGTTCTTTCTTGATACACGATATCCAATTATCAGAGTGCTTATATATTTGTTTTTGCATCAATTAATCCACCAATAGCCAAAAGATTTTAATCCTCAAGTACGATTGGTCTAAATAAATTCCAATGTTGCAATTGGTCATCGAGACAATTTAACGGGTTAATGTGTTGTAACGCATTTGAAGTAGAAACGATAGCATCATTGTGTCGTCTTACATATTTTTTAGCTTTCAATCTTTGATTCAATGGAATTGTAACATAAATTATCGTATTGGTCCATTTAAACACGAATATATTAAAGGATTTTTTTGAGAAAGTATGAAGAGATATAAAAATAGTTCTTTAGATAAGAAATGAAAGTAAAATTTCACAATTTTGAAATAGGGTAGTTTAGTTGGAACTATAGCACCAATGACTGTAAGACCTTTAATAGTGTGAGGATGGAACTCAGTTAACAAAACCCGAGCATTGAAAACTCAAAGACCTTTCTTTACGAAAAGCAAAAGTTTCCAACCAAGAGTACTTTTATCTTACCATTCCTAATTCGAACCAACTTTGTCTAATAGGTGAAGAATTTAACATTTGAGATGGGTTTACTTGATTATAGACTTTCGGTGTTTACGTTTATTGTGAACTTTACTTCAATTGCGTTCCGCATTTAAATGTTCCTTTTTGATAATTTTAAGCATAATTTGACTTTTCTGTGTAGAAACAATTATGGCATTTTCCAAAGAATAGCCTAGTTTGGCTTGGAAATGCACATGCTCGCCATATCTCTTTCATTTGCAAACATTTTTTCAAAGTGGTCCAAGACAAAACATCAAAATTGGGCTCTTTCTAAGCCGAATATTTTCAAATAATTACAACTGAAATACCCTTTAAAGTCTCCAAGGCCAAAATGTTCTATTTAAAATCCTTTGTGCTACATGCACTATTATTAAGAGGTGTAAGAAAAAATATGATTCCCATAACTTCTAGTTTAATTTATATCAAAGTGAGATTTGCCTTAAACGAAGAGGACAGATTAGTTCCGCTTCCAAAACAACTGATTAATAAATCGAATCGACACCAACTGTAGATCTATTAGTATTTAACTACAAGAACTTTACATAAAATATATTTGTTCATTTATTTATTTATATCAAATGGCAGGCGTTATGATAGTTATCATTAGCCCTTTAGTTGACTTCAGGCTTCACAGAGGGAGAGGAACATCAAATCGAAAAAAGTCGAGAGAGGAGAGTGAATAGAAGAGTGTTTTAAAGATGTAATAGAGACAGACACAAAGGTAGAAAAAAGGTGAGGTGAGCACTGTAGAAGAAGTCGACAATGACATACAGTGGGGTGATGGTAGTTTGAAGTGAGAAGTCAACTGCCGGTTTAATAGACTTTTTTTGCCGTACGAGTATACGTTGTCCAGGGTGCACCACGTGGAGGTAAGTCTATCGCACACCCCACATTAAAGCATTTATAATTTGGAAATATATCCAATAAAATCTCTTAGCAAAACTAAAATCAAGAAGTATTAACTTATTATTATAGCCAATAACACGACGGGAATATTTTAAATCCAGTATTAAAATATATTAAAACTAATTTGCATTAAGTCAAATTAATCGTAAAGTGCTAAATATTTGTGAGTAGTTGAGAGTGAAGTCAGGTTTTGCTTATTTTTTTAAATTTGACTATTTAATTTCATCAATTGTTTCCTGGATTACTGGAAAATTACCTCCCCCAATAGTGTTAAAAGCTTGTTTTACAGTTTACATTAGTCACTAAAAATCAAGAGATCAATATGATCCAAAAAGAGAGCTTGGGCCCTCATCATTAACTTACCATGGTATTGCTAAGATAGTCAAGTAGTTCACCTATCAATCTTCTTTACGTATTATATCTCTCGTTCTCACCTTGTAGATCATGACATAGTAAATTTTGTTAAACGTTCCTATGTGCTGTTGTTTGCAATAAAATTGTAGATTTTTGAGAGACCTAAAATTGATACATTCTTTGTGGTTGGAAACAGTTTATTAAGATAAAATAACTTATTGATTTTTGTTTCTTATTTGTTGATACACTCTACTTTGTCTGTTCTTACGATATGGAATGATATGTACACTTGCAAGTAGGTTAATTTTTTTTTAACTGATCACTGGAAAAATACTCAACGTATCAAAGTTAAGATAATGTTCCAAATGAAAAATCCATGGCCTTTTATTACGGGATAATGTACATATCACTCTATTTATTTATAAATTGAAAAATAATTTTCAAAAGATTAAATACATATAATATAATATTTTATTATAGATGCGAAGAATTAATTATTACCCAAAGTAATTAGCAACGCCACAAATATGAAAAGGAGAATGCTCATTTTAAAACCTGATAGAAATAGTTCTTTTTTAATTAACCAAAGGATGTTCATAATAATACTACTTTATTTTGAACTGTAATGTCCACCTTTATGATCGATTTCTAAAGTATTCAGTAACTAAATTAGCTGCTGCCAAAATATGGATTTACTAACAGTTGCTCGGTTTAAAATAACGCCAAAGATGTTTAGCTTCTTTAAAGCGATCAATCAGACTGATACTTCTTCGTAGTAAAAAAAATAAGAACTAAAATGAGAAACAGTGGGATTAAGGATTAAAAGTTGAGGTAGAAGTGGCGATTAGATGGGATTGCCATTACTTAAAAATATTTTAATAGTTTTTACGCGCCATTTAGAGGGGAAATGCTAATGAATCGTAGAACTACGAGGCTAACTTACTGGACGAATTGATTCTACGAATATGAATATACTCCCCAATTTTACTAAACTTTCAGTTTTTCGGTCAGTTCTAGTGGACTCCCAACGATGGCCTGCAGAACTCCTTGGCCGATCAAGTAAATTTACTGATCTCTCATGTTTTTGGTTCTTTTCCAATTGCAATGAAGCGATTTGCATCTCACTAGTTTCATAATGTTTATATTAGGCTCTTCTTATATGCATTATTCTTTCCGGGACTTACTGATTTTAAAGCTGCACAAAATTCAGCTCTCTCACTAGATTACTACTTGTGAAAATGCAAAACTCTTCTAAGGTGTTTTATTCATGGGAAAACATTTATTTATTTCAAATGACGGGCTATTTAATAGTTATCATTAGCCCTTATCTAACTTAGAACTTCACAGAGGGGGACCGAAGAGTGATTTGTCGATGTAAAAGAGACAGACACAATGATAGAGAGTAGGGTAGGTTGAGTACTGTGAAGTGGTCGACTATGACATACAGTGGGGCCATGGTGGTTAGACCCATTACACCCCTGTGTCATGGGAAAACATTTGAACTTACAAAGTAGCGTTAAGTTCTAATCGAATTTCGAACGTACTCATTCTAGATGCTCCCGAACCTTGTTGAAAGTAAGTTGAGCCTGCGTGGGTGCATGACCCAAGTACATACAGAACTCGGGCAATCATCTCATTATTGATTTAGTTGCACCTTTTTTTAACCGGCAGACGAAGCAAAGAAGCAATTAAAAAGGACATTGGGGGGCGTATTCATATTTCCAAAAAAATAAGTAATTGACTAAACAAACAAAATGCTACACTAGGCAGTGTCTTAAAGCCTAATTAAAACCAAGAACTATGTTTTGAAGGGCATTTTTGCCCTTTCCTCCTATGAAGATAAATATCCATGCGTGCGATTGCTTATTATCTGATGAACAAGTTAATAAATTACCCCGCTTAATGCATCTTACGAGTCCAAATCCATCTGTACCGCTTCTACTGATGCATCAAAGCACCTCCTGCCTCTAAAGTCCCATCTTTTCAAACTTACTGAATACACTCCTGTGTAGTCCACTTCAAGAAAAGACCGTTTCAACAAATACTCTATGGACAGGGGGTACATGACTTTCTTCAGCTGGATTTTTGTCATGAAATTAAGATATCGTCTTGGTTCCAAGGCACAACTTGAGAGCTCAGGGTTACTAAAATCCTACCTTTTTACGTCTGCCAATAGCGCGAGATGGTAAAAGTTGACTCACAAGAGCTAAAGTTCGAGCCTATTTTGCATTATCAGTGCAGGTAAATCCAATCGTACTTCTAATCTGGGGTGTGCGATAGACTTACCTCCACGTGGTGCACCCTGGGCAGGGTATACTCAAACGGCAAAAAAGTCTATTAACCGGCAGTTGACTTCTCACTTCAAGTTACCATGGCCCGACTATTTGTCATATTCGACCCCTTCCACAGTACTCATCTTACCTTTTTCTCTACCTTTGTGTCTGTCTGCCTCTTTTACATCTGTGAATCGCACTTCTGTTCCCCACCCCTCGGCTTTCTGCTACTTTAATGAACCTTCCCTCTGTGAAGCCCGAAGTCAGCTAAATGGCTAATGATAGCTATCAAAACGCCTGCCATTTGAAATTAATAACTTATAATTTCATTTTAATTCCAGCACAATGAAAAAAGTGACATTTAAACTTTTAATCATGGGAAAGCGCTATAAAACTCAGAATGAGAAATTTATTAGGGGTAGTGTCTAAGCGGCCACAAGAGAATTAGAATGATCCATTTATGCTTGAGCTCTTGAACTAACAGACCAAATGCTATTTGTTCATAAAGTGGACTAAACCTTCACTTTGTCATGAGAAAAATGTAGACAACATTCCTAATGTGAGCTCGCAGTCACTTTGCCTTGCAGAATTTAGCTACTGGGCAAATGAATACATCAGTTGGCAGTTCAAATTTGACCACACAAAGAGCGATTCATCAGGAAGTGTTCTTTTAAGATAATTTTTAAAGAGACACTGACATCTCACCTACGCACTTGTTATTTCTCTTTAGCGTCAACATTTCAATTGAAGTTGACATTCAGAAATGAGAGGAATAGAATTCTTTGTTAAATGTTTACCTGAATTTTATCTACTTTCGCACAAAATACTTGCTGAATAAGAGTCCGAGTTTGTGTGTGCGTATGTATGTATGTATGTTCTAGTACTATAATAAATTATAATATATTTTTTTCATTTCGATTCGACCACCGGCGTCGAAACCGACCGACGAAACCTACCGATGTGGAAAGCCTCTCGATATTGTCTCTCTTCCATTTGAGAAAGGCAATTATATCCTTCTCAATAGTTCATTCGGAAAATTACTTTCCACTGCATTTTGCGATAAAATATTAACATGCAATTGAGCCCTATAAATTATTAATTTTAACTATTTGATTAAGATTTTTTACTAGATCCTTAGTTTTTTATTTTCCTATTTTTAAATTAGTCGTCCAGATCTAATTTAAATTTCATTAGCTTTAAATTTGTTCAATAAATAATTCCAGTTTGACGAATTTTATCTTTTCGAAGCGCCATCAAGTTGAGGACTCATCTCATTGCCGTCTGGCTTTCATTGGTGGTCCGATATTATTATGGGTCTAAATTGCTCAATTTCTTTGCCGGAAGACTAAAGAACTACAATTTTAAACAATCTTTCAAATTGTATTTCATAACTACCGCTAACTGTCAAAATATTGTATCCCCTAAAATGGCAGTAAATAGTCATTTTTCAACTTTCCTACTAAATAACCTGAGATTTTAAATGGCATATTAAGTTTAACGTAGAAAGTTGGAAAAAAACAACGTTCTTCTTTCCAAGGTGAACTTTGAAATAATTGATAACATCAATACTTACTAGCAAATGATCTTCTTCAAGGCAACATGTTTGATCGGACCACCAGCATTGTCTACTACTGGGAATGAAGTGAAATGAAAAGGCGAGTTTAGTGAATCGTCAAAACCAAACGAATGGTTCCCAAGATGTAATAAAGTGGGCTTTGGGAGGTTCGAAAGAGAAGTTGTCTGGCCTTTTTACCTCTGAAATTCATTCAGTTGCAAAAGTGCTAGAGGAACTATGAACTATTGTGTAGGTAATATAAAATAAAGATCAGTCTCAGTTGGAGTACAATAATTCATTAGTATCAAAATTGTGTTAGTTGTTCAGATACTCCAAGACAGAAAGCCATTTTGTGAACTTTTATCAGGAACCTATGTTATAAAGTCAGCGTAGCAAGTAAAATATGAAATATTAGCCACATACTCTATCAACTTAAAAATTATTTTAGGAAAAGCGCGTTTATAGGTATAAACGCATTTAAACAAGGTAATTGATAGAGTGCCAAATGAAGATACACGTTGGAAAAGCCGATGTGTTATTATCAGAAATGTCATTAATAAATGGAAGATGCTTGAAAAATCGATCGTTTTTTGCTAAACGTACACAATTTAAGGACAACTCGTGATCAATCAGGCTAATTTAAATTTATTCAATTAGACGAAGACAAGAGGAGGGTCTTACGAAAGCAACTTCAAGTGGATGCAACGGAACTTCCTATCCAAAGGCGCTGCTAGCTCTCAGGGTTATTCAATAAGAGTCGGATAATTACTAGGATTTATATTAATTAAAAGGATGAATTAATTCTGTTATTTTTTTCTTAAGATTGGCGACTCCAGGTTGCCATTTAAACTGATGAAATTGATGCTTTTTATTAAAGGGTCACTTTACATTTATATGTTATTTTGACATTCTTATTAAATATTAAAAAAACGGAGAATGATTAATTGAAGGTTGTCAATAGTTTCTCATGATAAATTAGCGTACTTATTCCCAATGCACAGATCCTAGTAGTATCACAGTGGACAATGTGTTTAAGAATCACAATCTAAATTGCCCAGACATAATTAACTACCTAACTGGGAATAAAATAAAGCGAATTCTAAAGATGCAGATATGAAAGAAAATGGTTATTCGCCGTACCATTTACGATGAACGATATCATTTGGCTCAATGCACTCAATAAATGTAGTCCCTTGCTAATTTTGATTAAGCTTCAACTGACCAGACAATTGGCCCTACTCTTATGAGTGCTTCTTGGTGTATGTTCACTTTATGTCCAAATAGATTATTGGCAAAATGGTAATTTCCAAAGTCATGAGACATGTCTTAAGCGAACTGTGAAGTGATTAAAACATTCTTGTTTGAATTAGCCCTTAATATAGACGATCTAAACTCGAGCTTTGAAAAATTTGCGAGTAATGTCTAATATTGCCAATTTGGCAGCTGAATGTTTCCAGAATTTAAATATATGGTAGAATTTTTACAATTCCATTTCCATTACTTTCTATCATTTTCACTTCTTTGCTGGCCAATCTTGCTTTTCGCTAGTTCTGATCCTGTCGTATGATTAAAACAACGCTTCAGTTAGGGCATTGATAACGTAAATCTTCCTTTCCATTTATTTAGTTAAAGCTCGGAAGGTAAGAGATATGGACAAGATTTACAGAGCCCCCACCTTACCCTAACAAATGGAAATTTCCTTTCTATTTTTTATTATTAAAATTTAATAGTGTATTTCATATCAAGTTAGTGTATATTTGAATGTGTTTGAACTAGTGGTTACTTCCCAATGGCAGTGAGAAACCATTTTGAGCAATGATGTGGGAGGGAGGTGGGGAGGGGGGGGGCCTAGTGGGTTTCTGTTTCCGATAATAGTTTAACTAATCCTCATTCGAATACTCTACAATATGAGAAGAGTTTTTAAGAAAGAAATAATTATAGAAACTAAAATTGAGTCTGTCTGGGGAAAATGAAACCACGGATCACTCAGGCGTAGCCAAAATCGAAGCTAGACCCAGATGGCAATCAAACACCCTAGATCATTAATTTTCAAGTGTTAGTATTTCCGTCTATTCTAGTCACATTCATTGGTGTTACCAATAAAAAACACGTTTTTTGGAATCTGCGCAAGAATTTAAATGCAGCAGAAATTCAAAATTTTCCCTGACTTTAACCTGAAGGCTAAAAAATGAAACCAAGTGCCATGACAAACCAGTCGAATAAATCATCCAGTCATATAATTCAGGATATTGCGTAAATGAACTCACAATAAGCTATGGAAATGGGTGAATGATCAAGAATATTCAGATATAACGGAATGTGAATTACACCCAAAGTGAAAAATTCGGACAAATCAGGGCTCTCAAAGCTATGATCAATTAAGTCTCTTGGCACTTCGACTCCACAGTATTGCCTATTTCAATATATGCTCCACACCTCGCTGAGTAATTCGCATAACCGAATACTAGACCACGGTTGACGGTCGAAAAATTTGTACACGACCGCACTTCCATAAACAGAAACTTCAGTTTACCGAATATCAGCGTTGAACGTGCTTAGTCAGAGTTACTCACTTTCTTCACAAGCTCCACTTCCACAGATTCGGAAGAAGAGAAAATAAGCGACAGAATATTTCATTAAAGCGTGATGGGCAGTTATTCCTTCCTGAAACCTCAAAGCCGAAATCGGGGGAAGGTTTGGAATAAAAAGTCAAAAAGTGAGATATTTTGCATACAGGCGCATTTTTCAATGACGAAATTCAATGAAATATTTTTTTGGCTTTTAAGTTAGAAGGTGAATAGGATTACACTAACAACACTTTAACCCCTATATTTTCATGCACAACAACCGTAATAATACTGCGATGATATGGGTTCAAAATGATATATATATATATATATATATATATATATACATTAAGTTGAGTTTAGATCTGCTACATTGCTTTTCCTAGGTTAAGTTCATAGTACCCCAGTAAAAAAGGAAGTAGCAGATAATTTTCCTGCTATCATGGAACTAAAAATATGAATAGTCATTAAACAGTTCCATTTTCTGTCTGCTAGATTGATGGCCGATTAGCGGTCTCCAGAGATCGAGAAAAGTGATAAGCCAAGAAAAACAATTTTGCTAATCAAAATAGGTAGTGTAACCCCTTTCGTCCCATCAACCATATTCCAGGTGCAATAATTAGGTCAAAAAACTACTTATTTCGCTGACAAATAAATACCCATAATGCATTACAAGGCGAAAAGTCTACCTAGGCCCATGTCGAAAAGGGTTCTTATATTTTCAAGCATTGTCATTATACACGTCGGCATTAATTTTAAGAAATGAGTTAAAATTTTACTGACTAAAATGGCCAGATTTGATAAATAACGGCAAGTACTAATCAACTAGCTCCTCTATAAATTTACTTGCCCATAATTTTACCAATCATCCGACCAGTAATTTAGCATGCACAAAATTAAATAAATAAAGTATCGATCGCTTTAAAGTAGCAGCAAGCACCGACTGAAAATTTCATGCGAAAGTTGCTTTCACAATTTAGCATTCTTAAGCTTAATGAAAGTGCGAAATATTTCTGCAGTCGAGAGATCACTTATTTGCCATAAAGTGCCAATACGCGTGAAAACCTCGTCGTCAACCGAGATAATGGATTCCGCTGTCTTTTTTTTCATGATCTAAATTGGACGGAAACAAAGTAGCTTGACTCGCGGTCTTTAATACCTAAAAGCGTTATTTCAAACTGTAAATAGGCAGCGAAACACCTCCATCCTCCTGCCATGCTTTTCCTTCCAACAAAAGTGCCACTGGATAAAATATGGAGAGAAAAGGTTTGATTAAAATTATAAAACCTGCTCAAATAACAGCCTGGAGGTAAAACCAAGGGTTGAAAAAAATGGTAAACATTATCACGAAACGTTAGATTCAAGATACAAATTGAAAATTCTTTACAAATTATCTACAGATTAATTGTTAGAAAGAAAGTAGGCCAATGATATCTTTGATTTTTCGCAAATTAGATGAAGCGACCCGATTGGCCAATGCAGATCCAGCGCACAGGGCATCTAGTATAGACTTTGAAGTCTCCAGCTGTTTCATGCGGGCCTGAATTGGTGATAATTCCTTCACAATCGCATCAGTAACACGACTTTTCAATTCCACCTTCGACAATTTAACTAACTGTTCAGCTGCTTCAGTTACCGGAATTTGCTGAACAATAAATATCGTTTACTAGCAAATAATAAGTACGGTATAATTCAAATAGAGTAGAACTCGCATTTGAAGCTGCATAAATTTGAATGAGATTCGCAATTCCAGGCCGCGAAATAGGATCATAGGAAAGTTCTCGATTAGAATCGGTCTTAGCTCGAGAAACTTTTAGCCGAATTTCATCAGGAGAGTCCGTTAACCATATCGTGCCAATTTCAGGACCAAAGGATTTGCTCATCTTCATAGTGGGCTCACGCAGATTATGGATCTGAAAAAGCAAGTTAAGCTGGTCCTTGCAATTTTAAAACAAAACAAAAAAATGCATGAATTCTTGAAACACCTTAGGAATTTCGGTTAACTGGAGGTTAGGGACCTTTAAACAACAGTTAAGAGAAGGCCAGTGGGTCAAAAAGACGCGAGCAAGGTCACGAACAAGTTCAAGATGAGTGACTTGATCAGCGCCAACGGGGACGACATCTGCCGAATAGAGAAGCACGTCCGCAGATTGAAGAAGGGGATAAGTGAAAAGACCCACTGAGGCTCCTGATTCACCAGCAGACTCAGACTTCTCACGCCATTGTGGCAAATGAGCCAGTCTCTGTAGTTAATGGAATAACTTAATTTAAAAAATATATGTATAAAGTGATAAAATAAGCCCCATTCTTCGAATCGACATCTTACGTTAACGGTGCACCTAGAGGAGAGCATCCAAGAAAGTTCACAATGACCGACAACGTTTGATTGAGGAAAGAGGATAGTCCTTCCTTTACAGTCCTTCTCATTTGGACTCACAATGGGATTAATGCCGCAAGCCACCAGAGTAGTCGCTAATTGCAAAGTAGATTGAGCCAAACTATTATCAGGAGTGTGCTTAGTAAGAGCGTGAAGATCAGCAATCAGAAGAAAAAAGACACCCGTGTTCTCGTCACTCTGAATTTTAACGCAAGGTTTTATCATTCCGTAATAGTTTCCCAAATGTGGCAATCCTGTCGGCTGGATTCCAGTAATTACTACTTTACTAACATTCCGGGTAGAACGGTTTGCAATTATCCACAAGAGTTGTGTATGTTTGAGACAATGTAACTGAAAAATAACGCTCGATAGGGAAATAATTGTTTGCAAAGCACAATAACTCTATATATGACGCACAAACCTACATACTTCAACATGCCTCGAGGAAAAGATGATTGGTTAATACGAAACATCGCGCCTTGTGCGGCACATCTTAAGTTAATGACATATAAATAACATTATAATGAAGTACAACTTATAAATAAATTTACTTAACATATCAAAAAACATTAAGTCTTTAAGATTTTTGCAAATGCATGATACTTGGGATTAACGTCTGCAAAAATAATGTCTTGTCAGAAACAAAATGTCAAGATTATTTCATTGAAAACATATGCTTAGTTATCTTTGAATACACATTCAATAAAGAAAATAAACTATTTAAAAAACGATGTTTTAACTATATTGTGTAGTAAAGATTAATTCTTTGCACACGTGTGCCTTTTCACTTTTATTTCTTAAATATCTAATTTGAGGATTAATTCCGTCGGGGTTTAACGGGCAAATGGTTTAGGAAACACTTCGGTCAGGCTCTACCATCTAGTGGACACCATAATCAGAATTTTGAGTGTGTCTTGAAATGAAATGCAATTCTGTATGCCAATCCTTTACCGATCTGACGATTTTCATTAAAGCCTCGATGAATAGAGGCACTACAAATACGACAATTACTATTTCCGTTACAGGTTGTAATATCAAATTGTTTGATCTTGTTAGCTCTTAACTTCTCTCACCTAGGCACCTGCTCTCTGCTCCTAGTACGTCAGTTTTCGCTCTAATTTTCGTCGAGAAGATAAGTAAGGAGAGAATCTAATATTTTAACTTGCATGGCACTTTGCATATTACGAAAGTAATTTTTTACATTTTAAAAATCATTACGAAATAGGTAATATATGTTTACCAAAAGTCAAGGAAAATCAATCCGTATAAGGCACAAAGCAATCAGCCATACCAATCAAGAAAATGTAAACAGAAAGTCAGAGTGAGAACTAGAAAAACAATCCAAAAGCGGACACTTCTAGTTTTGTCCATTGACTGCCGCAAGTGGTCGTTCGCCTCGCGCACTAACTCCGTCGAGCTAGCAACCTGTTCTCCAATACGTTGGGCCATCTTCAATAAATGATTGGAATACATTACTTCTACTTATCAATATTCAAGTAGAAATGTATGCACATGCGTTAAATCTTACTTCTGCTTGTTCTACAAGGCTTTCAGTAACCATTGATTGCAAGCGACCAATCTCCGAGATCTGGCTACCCAAGCGTTGCACCTCATTTCTTTCAGAAATAAGTCGTAAGTAAACTTCAGCATTCTCCATTTCAAGTTGTTTAAACTCCGCTTCAGGCAATGAATCGGTGTTTAAAGCTTCGGTATTCTGAGAGGAAGAGTATCCAAATAGAGAACTGACATCGCCTCCTCCAACGCGTTTTCGAACACCATCACCGACGGAGGAAATTTCCTGTTGAGAAGTGAAAGGAGGAATTGGCGCGTCGCCAAGACGACTTGCTAATTCAACTCGACGACAGTATGTTGACACCTAGGAGGAGAAATGAAATGTCGAATCGTAATAGAATGGTCTGATGTGAAAGAAAATTTTAACCACCTCAACCATGACGCAAGTTGTTCAATATCATGAAAGGTCCATTAGCTTTCTTAATACTTGCTAAAAAATTATTTTAGCGGCAATTAACTGGTCAATAAGCGCCGAATTAAGTGAAAAAGTTGTTTGCTAATAACGTGGAAGGTTCGTGAGATTTAAATTTTGCACATAAACAATAAATCAAGTTAAGGTTGAATTATCTGAGCTCAAACATCAAATAAAGTAAGACTCTGGAATACCCTAACTTTGTACTCGATAACATTTAGATACACCCCCATCCACAGCAAGCATACACCACTAACTAATCTAAATTGCTATCCTTAATGGAAAACAGAAATAAATTGCTTTATTAGAAAAAACTGAAATAAAAATATTATAGTTCAAACCACAAAAAAACGTTGCTGCCTAGTATTGTTGTCAACGCATATTCATATCCATTGTTATACATTTTTTTAATCAGGAGTATGCAAGTGGTGCACTCTGAGCAATGTATACTCATATGACAAACAGTCTATTATTCGTCAGTTGACTTTTGACTTCAAACTACCATGTCATATTCGACCCCTTCACAGTAATCACCACACCTTTTCTCTGCCTTTGTGTCTGTCCATCTCTTTAACATCTGTGAATACTTATTCTGCCCCTTTCCCCATCTCGACTAGGTGGCAGTTTTATGTTCCTCTTCCTCTCTGTGAACCCCGAAGTCAGCTAAAGGGCTAATGATAACTATCAAACGTCTGACATTTGACATAAGCAAATACACTTTTACTAATCACACAGAGCTTTGCCATGCCTCCAGGTCAATAATGAACCAATAAGAAGAAAAGGTCATGAGTAATACATATAAATACGATAACTATAGTCATCACGACAAAAAATTATTTTATGGAACGGCACTTACCTGATCATCTCTCGTTCGCCGAAGGGTTTTTAGGAATTCCTCTAGTGATCGACAAACCGCCTTCCGATGCTCGTTTCCTTGCCCTTTCTCCTCACTCTGTTTCACGCCTCTACATCGCCTCTGCAACTGTCGCAGCAGTTCCTCACACTGGTCTAATGCCCCATTAATTTCCTTGGCAACTTCATGGTACATTCTCTGTCGTTTGGCGTCACTAGTGGCTAGGGCGCTGATCAGTTCCCCCGCATGGTTGAGATGTCCCCTAACAGTCACCAGCTCTGTAAACAAACTTCGAGCTCGACTAGTAAAGCTATCTGAAGATGTGAATTTCGTACCGGCTTGTGTTTTCTCGGTTAAATCAGAAGTAGAGGGAAGTTTACGGGGAATAGGCCCAGTAGACAGGGCTCGAACAGTACTCGCGAATACCCGAGTTATATCACAGGACATAGAACTATACAAAACAGAGAAGCAAACAGTGCATCTTCCAAGCCAGTAGGACAAGCATAAAACCAAAAGACCGAGGGAAAAAGTATAAAAATATACAATTTTATTAACACAAAACAGAGTGTATACGGGAGAGAGAGAGCTCAGAACCCATCTATTGCTCATTTGAAATTTCTTTGCGTTTCATGATGAAAACCCGACAGAAGGAGTCGAACATCTAGAAGACGGAAATCATAAGATTAGAAGGCGAGAGAGGAAAGATGAACATACCACGAAGATTGTGTGACGTTTCTCATTCAACGTGAACCAGTATGGCTTGTAAGGGAGAGTGTGAACTTGCAATCGATGTGTTACAAGTCTTGACAGTGGTACAGATAACCTATAGTGTGTAAAAAATGTTATTCAGTCAATCGAAAGCTCTCACATTGGCAGCATTTGAATAGTATCAAATGTATTATGTGGCAAAGGCAGTTATATTCAACACATTCACAACCTACGGTAGACAAAAGTGGCAACACTAGATTTATGGAATAAGAGACCTTCGGGAAATCATGCAAGCAAGCATTAAGTTCCTCTGCCAAGGAAAGATCATAACCAGGTGGACTATAAAGAAGGCTTGGCTAAGACAAATCGATCAAGGCGTCTAGCAAGGCGTAATCGACTCAAAATGTGCGAACAAAAATTGCAGGAAATTGAAGTAAAAGTGGTGAAAAAGGTTAACGGCAAGAAATCAAACGCCTTTGAGGACCATTTTTCCACAGATGCAATGATCAACGCGGACTTCAACGCACAATTTCCTCTAACTTTACACCTTAATTTGTCCCTGCTGCAACACCATGCACATCAATTCCTTCGAATAGTAAATCATTCAAATAGTAACAGAAACACACCCTGCAAGATGGTCTGAAAGTGTATGAGAAGTTGGTAGAAGGGAATTTGGCGGTAGAGACGACGCAGAAGTAATGCATTCATCGAGGGGAACGAAAATAATCCACTGAAGAGTCGCATTCGAGGAGATATCGTCCTCACGGGTGAGCACAACTGCGAGGGTACTACTTTCAAAGAACTTCATGTCCACAATATTGTAAGTTCTAAAGTGGGCAGAAAGTAAAGCACGTAAGACAATGCAGTATTTTTACTCTGAAAGATGCAGTTAATTGCTTACTTCTTCAGCGGATTGTCATCTGTAGCGAAACTGTCTACGTCTATGCTGAAACCCTTTCTCGCACTAAAGAAGCAAGTATAGAAAAGAATAATCTCCACGAAAAAAATGACAAAAAACAATAGTACCAAAAGAAGGAGCAGTAAAAGCAATTCAATGAATGTCTGAGGGAGAGAAAGCTGGAAAAGGGGTAAATCAAAGAAACGAAATAAGGTCCTGCCTGTAGATCTAGTGACTTTATTTAATAACCCATTAGCATGGGAATGCACGGAGGACAGGACTACATTGCATTTCGCAGCTACCTTCTTTTTACATAAGTCTAAACAAAACACTTTAGAGATTTTTAAATTGTCTGGACAAAAATGACAACTTGCTTACTATTCGATTAATATAAGGACTCATCGGAAAATAAATAAATAAAGAATATGAATCTCTTACAAAGTGAATAGATTATAGCTTTCCGATTTGCGCTCTAATTAATTTATAAAGTTGTAAGTAGTATATAGTTCGAAAATACCAAGAATCAAAGTTACCCTGAAGGATCAACAGAATATATAAAAATTGTCTCTCCAGTATTGAGATCATTGCGAGGTCGAACAAAGGCAAAACGATCGACTGTTCCAACACAAGTCTGTCTGCCTAGTGATTGCATTGATTTGTTAGTAAGGGTTGGCTTAACATGGTGGGAAGTTGAGCATAGATGATATTTAGATATATCTGATCTGGAGAAAAACAAATGATACGCTGTTATTAGTACTCATATCAAATAAGTAGGTGTAATTAAATATGCGAATTTAAATTTACACGTGGTCAATTAAGGGAAGAGGTGGGTCGGGCTCTTGAAATAGGCCAACGGGTGACACCACCTAGTAAAAGTGAGAAGCATGGGTTAGGTTAAATCGAAAGTGAACATGATGTAAAGGGTTAACCTCACCTCTCCAAAGGTAGCCACTTTATTAATGCATTCCGACAGTTGAACTTCAATAAGATCGGCCAAGGAGGAATTGGAGGTAGCAAAGATGCCATCTAACGAGAGAAGATAGATATACACGAAAGTTGAAAATCGTAAAAAAACCAAGCAATCAAATTCACACAAATCGATTATTTCACAAGGACGGATGTATGACCTACTTTTTGAACTAATAGCCATTTGAAGAAGAAACCATTTTTGTTTAATGGCCTCCGGTATTAGAATTTGAATGGATAATTACCTGGGAAGAATCTTTTGTCCAAACTATCGTGAAGTGGGATAAGGGTCTTCAGTTTGCTTCGCTTAAAATACTCTTCAGAGGCTTTGAATCCCATGACAAGGTCAAGGGGCTTTGTTATACCGCCTCTTCTAATGTATTGCTCCACGAGTTCTATTTGGTAGCTTTTCAATTGTCCGTTGATGAAGCATGGCGTAAAACGCTCTGTGACAAATGTTATCACTAGAGACAGCTCAGCTTGTGATATCTGAATAAAAAAGCAAAACAAAATATTTGTGAGAATTAGTAATGTCATTATTGATTTAATAGAACGTAAAAATATGTTTATTTCATTCACACAAAGAAGCTTTTTACAGAACAAATACTTAACGACTACATTTTTCAGCTTTAAGGGAGTTTATGAAACAAAATGAGGCAAGAGAATACCCTCTTCCTACACAAGTCCAGCAGTATTAACACTCCACATTTGATTTGAAAAGTTGATTTCAGTTGATATGAAAGCAAAGAGAGGTTTAGAGGTTACTTACGTTAACATCGACTCTCCTCAGCATATCTTTAATTGATGAGTCGGCGACTGAAACAAAGATAAACAAATAGGTTTTAGTGAAAAAATGAAAAGGATTGAGTTGGTTGCGTGAAAAGGAAAAAATGCCCTCGACTTACCCTCATAAAGCCAGTGGAAGAAAGGCCGTAGGTATTGGCTGCAGTACTTTACTATCCTGTGAGGAAAGAGAGGAGAAAATCCAACTTCCCATAGGCAGTAAAAAAATTGGGCGAGAAAAGCCAATCAATAAATTTAAAAAAAGTACTGTTTCTGATTAGCGCATTATTGGAGAACAACGGTTTAAACGAAAACGATGGACATCAATTGCACCCCTCTGATGCATACGCCATCATACCGACTATTCCTGATGAACAGATGAAAAGTAGAATCTCACCTTCTCTACCAAAGAGATTTAATTATACCCTTTCCAAGCCAAATACAAGTGCTCAAACAAATACAGTAAGCTTGATACTCTTAATCCGCATTCATTCAGAACGCGAACCTTAGCTTTTACAAAGTAATAGATCAATTGATTTAGAGATGGGTGTGACATCACCACACAACCCCCTAAACACTTCATTTCGCGTGAACGCTTAATACCACTACCAGATAAATTTTAGTGAAAATATAGAGGGGACATTTAAAATATGAAGCACCGATCGCAATTAAACTCATAGGGACATTCAAGGTTCCCAATTACACCATCTCTATATTATAAATTGATATTGGAAATGGTTACAGCCACACAATTTTACACAGACAATCGGCAAATGATTAATTAAGATTGGGAATGGCAATATGCGAAAATTAAAGTTCAAAGCACTTACGTATGCAATTCGTGGGTCTTCTGAAGACTAGTTCCGACAACTTGAATGAGTTCGACAACTACCTCCTCTTTGAGTCCAAAGCATTCAAAGTTGTGATGGTCACGAATACACCCCAGCAATTCACTGGCCTCGCATATGAGTTGCATTAAAATACTGCAATAATAAAAAAATGCCTATCAAATGTCAGTCGAATTAGCTGACCTCGCTACACGCCTAATATGGAGGAATGAAAGACAATAACCATAATATCTATATTCTCATAAAGTGCCAATATTCTGCTCAGTAGAAGGTTTTGAGAAATTTCGCGATAAGGACTCATTAAAGGTTACTTAGAAATGCCTCTTCCACCGTCCTAGTTGGGTAGAAGAATAGCCTCGTGAAGAATCCTTTATAAAAAGTTCGAATCTTATCGTTGAATATTACAGATGGCCATTGGACTCACTACCCCCAAATTTGCATAAAAGAAAAGTTGGCAAAAACAGGTGTTTAGCTCGAAGTAGTTTAACATTTGTAGGTGGGAAAAACTGCACTTTCTACAGAGTATAAGGAGTTAACAAAGGCGATCAGAAAAAAAATTTACCTCGCTCACTTACACTGAAGTTTCTTTCGACGTGGTTTGGATATAAGGCCAAGTCGACATTAAGACACACAAAGAAACCCATTTTTTATCTTTGTTAGCCCCACTACCAACAATGGATTTGTTCACGAAATAAATACAACTCCATGGCATACGATATCAAGGTGATTAAACCGATATTTACATTCAGTCTATTGCAAGTAAATCAAAATATTAGCAGACCACTAAGGGTCATTGTCTAATTTTTTTCAATGAAAGTACAAACATGAATTCACCTGTCAAGATTTTAACAAATTTTTCATTACTATGGCCAAAGGAATAGTATCTCAAACTAACTGAAATTAGATTTATTATTACCTTAAAAAAAGAATACAAAAATAAGTACTTACAACTGCAATTGTTGAAACGCAACAGCCTCCATGGCGTCATAGGCCTTGAACATGGCAATTCCAGTTCTTCTAATTGCAGATGGAGACCAATGACGCTTAAAGTACTCCTTCAAATCAATCCTTAAACCAAGGGGTTTCAGAGGGAAAGGCAGATGACTTACGAAACATGTCCAAAAAGAATGACCTCCATGAGTTCATTGCGCAATGACCAGTCCTATAGGATAAGAGAGGGGTGAGAGACAAGGAAAATTCATTACAGGAGAATTCTCAAGTCGCATTCGAGAATAAGTTGTGAGTTTGGAGTCCAATTCCACAAGAGTAGATTCCCAGAAGCCTTGAAGTTGCTTTAAGCACCAAATCAAAATCTGAAGCAAAGTCACTCAGGAAATAGCGGAAGCATTACATTTTTACAACGAAGTAAATTAGCAACATGGTAGGAAATCCTTTGCAATGGAAGACAGTGTTCAGCTAAAGCAGGGGAAGGTCCTCGATTTAGTTGTAGAGCACCTTCTTGGCTGAGAGAAAAAAACGAAAATGAGGAGAAGTCATGAGCCATTGAACATCCATAGATTTTGTAGAAACTATCCAAGCGGAATGACAGCAGTTCATATAAACCACAACCAAATAGACGAATAGATTGGTCAGCAAATTGGATCATGAGAATAGAAGGCCTTAAGAGGGAACGTTAAAGAAAAAATATCAAATAAATACTTTGAGTCGCCATTAATCCATGGTTGTGACAACCGGTTGACCTCATTACGACTTGAGAATATCTCACTAAAGAGAGGGAATACAAATAAAAGTGAGGAAAACATTACTCAGAGAATACTGAAAGAGAACTGAACGGTGGAAAGAATGATTCCTTTTCGGAAACCTCGTGTTCACAAGATACCCATGAGAGCTGTTCAATTGATTTACTTCCAAACTCCATGGTATAGATGATAGAACCATCCGAATGGTTCAGTTGTTCCACACGTCCAGACTCATAAGCGACGGCTAGGACATTACCGTCCGGCCTCCAGGCAATGTGGCTCACGGCACCAGAATCCTGAGAAGTCACCTCCCAATTCACCCCCATCTTGTACCTTTACGATTAAATAGTGATAACTCAGATAAAGCAAACTACCTAATGCAATAAAAATAGATAATAAACACACTTGTGAAGTGAAACTATTCCTGTGGGAGAACCGATAGCAATAATGTCCATTGTCGGAGACCAGGCAGCAACACTTACCCTGGTCCTAGAAATGGGCTTTTCCTCATAAACTGTTGCGGAATATTCGTGAGGCATAACTATCAAAAAGACGTAAAGGAACGGACTTTGGCTTACGCACATGACAACGAGAAGAAAAGAAGAGAAATCATACGAACATCTAGTAATAAATTGTCTATATTTTTATCCAAAAATTCTACTTAGGACATATCACCCATAATAGCAGCTAGGTTTGTAATAGAGGGATATTTGGTGATAATAGGTGTGAGACAGGAAAAGTACTTAGAATAAGCTGAAAATGTTCGGAAGTAGGCGGCGACAAGGCAGTCAACTTTGCCGGCCTTAGTTCGATTGAATATATAATGTCCTTCGGTGAGCAAACTGGAAATATTTTTGCAAGCAGCATCAAAGCGGTTAAGAACTTCACCAGTGTCTTCAGAAGACCAGCCAGTAGACGACTTCAAATATTTAATAATTGATTTTTGCTGACGTTTAAAATAGTAGATATTTAAGGGCCAAGGATAAAGTGAAGCGAAGTGATTTCTTGTGCAACGTTCTCCGTTAGACTCAATCCAAGTAAGGTAGAGTGTCAGATTTCTCAAAAGATCAGCAACCCAGAAGAAAAATATGTGATGTGTGTTCTTTCGTTCCAGCACATCAGCGTCGGTTTCAACTTTCGGCTCATCTCTAAATGCTTTTAGATTAAAAACCATTGACATATAACCAGAAACCAAATTTCCATTAATATTTGATACGGGGAGAAGACCATCTGGAGATGCGAAGTAAGCATTTCTTGAGTACCGGACATTATAATCGTACGTCTTTAATCTTAAGTATTTAAGACACGCCGAAAGAGTTGCTTGGTCATTCGGAAGTGAGTAATCCTCTGGGGTCGAAACGATCTCCACGGTCCTCATTTCGGAGTATTAAGAAATAACACTTAGATAGTATTTGCAAGTCAACCAATAGGAACAAAATTGTTCAAAATAATACAAGCTTATAATTAATTTTGGAATAAATAAAGATATAATCATGTTCGACTCCGTACTAACGCAAGTTATCAGGAATAAAATTACATAAACAAGTGATAAATGTGACTTTTGTAAGTATTTAAAAAGTATTCATTCAAGCCGAATTTACCAAACAGTAAGTTTTCATATGCTAGATAAAAAAATTATTACATCGTTCATAAAGATTCAAATAAGTATGTAAAACATTAAAAGCCTATCCTTCCACATAAAATTTGAGAATGTCATTAAATATAACAAAGAGAAGAGATTCATTAGGATCAGTCAACTCGTTAATTATTATTATTATTACGATTTCTTTCATTCGGAATTACATTTATTTCGCATTTGTATCGACTTTAATAAATTTGTGTTTTAAAAGACTGCGTCAATTTGAAAAATTGGGATTTCTTGCATTTGTTTCAATTTTGGGATTATGGATATTACAGATGAGGAATTACGGAAACAATTGGCAAATTATATGGATAATGTTCCACCAGTCACAGGTTAGGGAAAAGCTTTTGATTTATTGTTGTAGGATCAACTCGTGATGTTCTGAAACTTAAACTGGCTAAATATGTGTCGTCAGAAAATACTTCAAAAAGGTATTCCTTGTTATTTGGATTTACTTTTTTTAGTTCTTCTGCTAATGTAGAAAAGGATGTGGAAAAGCGCGCTTCAAGGTAAGTGACCGAATATTTATTATCTCTTTTATTTAAATCCTGCTTTTGTCATTGTTTATTTGTAGGCGTCAAACTTTCGCTTCATCTACTAGTTCACCCAAAACCAGCAATGCTGTTGAAAGTGAAGTTTCGAATTCTCCAGTGGAGCAAGCTTCTGACAAACGCCGTAAGACCATCAGTGTTCCACCTCGATCTGCTTCACCAGAGGAACTTCAGGATGATTTCCTTCATAATTCTCCTATTTCTGAGCGCTCACCCGAGTTGTCTCAAAGTTCTCCTCAAGCTCCCAGAGCTTCGTTCTCTCGGTCATCTCTCAATAAATCTCGTAACGGCGAATCTATTCTTTATGAAGATGATAATTATCGTGTTCGCTACTTCCCCTCTTCTGAAATGCCGGAATATCCAGGTGGTGTACCGGTTTTCCGACGACGTTCACTTCATCCTCTTAATGATAAAGAGGATACCTCTAATCCCTATGAGGAATTCTACATTCGTTCGCCTCGTTTGCAAGCTAAAATTGATGCGGAGCGCATTATCTCTCGTGTCATGTCAGGAAACGGTACTTCACACCCTGACATGTATTATCGCGGTAAAAACTCTCGCGGCAATTTATTTCCTCCAAGTGGTCGTAGGTCACTACTCAAAATACCCTCTATGCATTCTATTATGGACTTCTTCTCTAGTGTCATTCTTGGTCTTTGCGCTCTTCTTCTATCTCCATTTGCCTTGGTTCGTTGTGCATCTTGTAAGTTGTCTTTTGAAAATCGTTTTTAATTTCTTTATTATGTTATTTAGCTTTTCTTTTTTCAGCCCATATCTGCTCAGCCGTCGGTTGCAAAACCCTGTCTGTCCTTTGTCTCGTCTGCATTCTGGTCGCTTTGACAATCTTCTTCATTTTTTCCGATCCCTTCTACCGTAATCCCGTGGCAGAATTTGCTGATCGTCTCTCAGGCCCTCTCGCTTCATTTATGCAAACGAAAAATTAAACTTATGCTCTGCGGAGTTATAGTTGGATCATGTTATTTATGATAACATTTTGTGTGCTTTTTGTGAAAAGTTACGAGTTTTCATTTCCCTCTTGTAATTCACTTTTTAATAATATACGGTAAAGTAATGTTTGACGTTACTGTTACTTTGATGTATTACAAGATATTACTATTACAGTTCCATTAAGATTACTAGCTAAGTTTAAGAGCCTAATTTAGATGTACTGTTTACTCAGATATTTTTGCTAACGAAATACTGCAATATATCTTCAACTAGAGTTTTGAAAAGGGGGATCTCCATCCCGTTGATATAAGTGGGTAGAACGCGGATGTAGAATTGCTACCTTTGGTCTGTTGCGGTATACAAATACGCCGATAATTCGGACGGTTTTCACCAACAATGGAGGTACGTGCATTCGTAAGCCAGAATAATTTCGTGTTTTGGCATGTGAATGCTACAATTGATGGTAGCTTCTTTTTATGCTTGTTCTCTTTGGAGCACTGACTCAAGGAATTCAGTGACGGGTGTGTTGAAACGCCTCGTTTTTAATGCTACTAGCAACTCCTACCCATTTTGAGGCGTTATCAAACACTCACTGTAGCTGCTCTGATGAAAAATCCAAGTTCCACCATTAATCTATTATTAGGCACCACACTGAAGAGTATCAAAACCGCTGCCTCTTTCTTCACAGATGAGACCACTAACCTCAAGCTGTATTAAAATTTTGACTAAACCCTGAGCGCTCTCTAGTGTTAACTTTGCAGTCAAGCTCACTTAAACGTGGTCATCATAATGCCTTTGTGACTAATTCTACCGTATTTCGTGTTGTCGCGTTGATGGTAAATTTTTGGAACCCTATTCAATGTAACTGCATAGCATACCATTCTTAAGTGTAATTTAAGTGAATAGATCTTAAAAACGTCAAGCAATACAGTAAAGCATTTTCAGAGTAAATTGGCAACAAGAAATCAAGAATATGCTAGTATAGTTAGTGATACTTGCTTTGCCATAATTCTCTTACATATTGCATATTCCTGAAATTTTAGCAATCTTTGAAAACTGCAAGATTATTCCAATTAAAAGCTCTGGGAGGGATACTTTCGCCAACTTTCATCAATTTACTTCTTTGAGACAAACACCTTATTCCACTGCCATATTTAGTTGGTCTCTGAAGTACGTAGTCATGAAAATGTGAGTGGAAACCGATACACGGGCTCGTTTAAGCCTCAAAATACCTCAAGCCACGAAGAATAAAAGGTAGGGACCTGGATCGTGACTCGAGATGAAGGGAACTTCAAAATCCACAAGTCTAAAAACTTAAAAGTTCAATTTTTTTTCCCTAATTCGTGCAGTTGGGACTAAATGTGGCCGAAGTTAGCCCTTCTAACACGAAATTGTCCGAAATTCGGCCCTGGCATCTTCTCTGACCTGAGAAGTAAATGCTACCAGTAAAACATGCTCTAAAATGGCACTCGTTCACTTACTAAAACGATATTAGTTTGAGTGACAATTTTCTAGGCTTTATGTCTTATTGATGAGAATTGACTCTATGAAGTCTGAGATCACTGATTCGATGGCTACTTTATCCGTGAGCAGAATGACCCATCACAACTTTTAGGTCTGGCTCATAAAAGATTGCCTAAATATTAATTGCCATCAAGGGGTACAATAACGCTTTTCTCCTCCCCCTCCAACCCCAGCTCTTCCAAAAGGGAATTCTCCAAAACCCCTCCCAATTGTGCTTTTTGAGCTGTCAGTCGCTATATTCTCTTTAATATTTCTTCGTTAACAATGCAATTTTGTATCTCCGTACTCTCTAGTTTAATATAAAAGATAAGATATAGCCAAAGACAACAAACGACTCATGGGTCATTGCAATATCGCATAGATTGGGATCATTTCGTCAAAAGATCCTGATATGTTAATTAAAATTGCCTTTGAAATGAAACTCAATTGAGGAAGTTAACTAGAGCCTGCTAATATTCATTCCCAAACTAGCGTTAACGCATTCCATATCTTTATCACTTTCTCAATTTTTTGCCAGAGTCAAGGGATTAATCAATTTGAGCTTCAAACTTGACTTTTTCAGAACCTTCCGCCTACTTAAATAAATATATGCAGAATAGCAAGTAGAAGATGTCCACAAGATACATCGATTTTTCTTGCTTTTTCCCCAAAGCACTTTTTTGCATACATGAGAAAATAAGCACAATAACGTGCGCGCGCGCACACATGCGCAATCGAAAATCGATAAAATATATGCAGCATAGGTATGTGTGTTTGTGAGTATCACAGATGATAATGGACAGGCAGGCGGGCAGGCAGGTAGAAGGACAGATAAGTAAATAGACACAAAGAGGGATAATAAGGCATTTCAAGAATAAGTAGTAGGTATTAAAAAATTCCCAAGAGCAAATTAGTGTTTGGCATTACTTTTGCGATTGTTGGAGCGGAAGAGAGAACCACGACGCTTGAATGCTGATTTCAGACCACCAAAAATTTTATTCGAGTGTTTTGACCCACTGTTCCCACTTTTCTCAGTCAGCTCTTCGACAACTGCATCTCCTAATGGTGTCCCTGGACAAAGAGGTGTTGACGGGGGTGTAGGTTCATAGTAAATTGGCTCGGTTAGTGATGGGGAGAAGATATGACCATTGCTTGATGTGTTCTTTCGACGTGAATCAATGAGTGTCGGTATTGATCTGCGACCCTAGAGGCAAATGAAGCTGGTCTATTAATCAATTCTTAAAATATCAGTGAATTGAAGATAATGACTACTTCTAAACGTTCCTCAGAGTTAATTATTTCCAAAATTATATTTTAAAAAGGTTTTAATTCCTTTTGATTAACGTTAATATTATTTCCTGTCTGACTAAAAGCATTCCTCTTTCAATCAGCATTATCATTGGTGTCAGAAATTGAGTATCAAGATTTTGTTATACAGGCACTTTATCTCCTCGTCAGCCCAGGGGAAACCCCATGATAGGGCATTTGCATGTATTCGCCGTGCGACTTCACACCATAAATTTGTCGTAATTATCCTATTACAATGATATTAATATATCTCTGCCCAAACTAATTCAAAATGAAATACCTATCATCACAATTGCCGAAATTCCAATCATGTGAAGCAATCCTAATAGGAACAACAATAAAGGAGGAAACAGAGAGTTCGTCGAATCGAAGTAGACAGAAATGCAGTTAGCTCGTCTTTTAGCGCTAAATAGATACACTTCACCATGTCATACCCTTGCAGCATAATAAATTTAAACCGCCTGTCATTGGCACTAATTCAAAATTATGTTCCAAAATCGTTCACTTGCTCCATATTTAAGCCGAATTGTGTCATTATCCTCGTTATATGGGCCACTCAAAGAAGGCGACACAATTCCAGCTGCTGCAACAGAAGCAGAAATCGTTGAAACATCGGAAGGTCCATTCATAATCTCTACAATCTCCGATCTCAGTGCTTCAGTACGTTGATTTGTCGGCAAACAAACCCCTCTACCTGTTGACGGCGTCCATCCTAGACCCGATCGATATTGTGGTAGCGTAGAAGTTGGGTAACCAGAGTGAATTGATGAGCCCACCTTCCATTTATATGGACCTAAAAAACAAAGAAAGTTAAATAATTAATTCTACTTATTAAGCTTTCAGTAAAATAGGTGTAGCTAAGATTTACACAAAAACGAGGCTGACAATGTTCCGCACGTTGAAATCTATGGTATATACATAATTACGTGATTGCCTTCAACCCACCAAAAAGTACGGTTCTGTAATTTGAATATGTGTTTGCTTCTATGCGAGTGTATTCCTCTACTTAAGCAATCATTGCCACATTGTACGCAAGTGCTTATTTGATTTTTCACATATAAGACCAAGAACAAGCCAATTCTCGAATTCGTAGGTAAACAAAAAACGAAAGTCTATCCAAAAAATCCGAAATCATAATAGAAAATATGGTAGAAGGCTACTATTACATCATATCCAAGTTTAAGAGTCACTGGGGATATATATTTCCTCTTTCGAATGAGGATTTCCAAAATTATCGAATCTGGAACGATTGGCCAGGGAAACCTAACCAATCATTCCACTTTGCTTATCAAAATGTGGAAATAAATTAGAAAATAGTTCCAAAGGGACATTGGAAACCCAGTTCCAAAGCGTCTTTAGGAAGAGTAAAGAAATATATATAAAAGAACAGCGAAGACTCAGTGACAGAAATAATTTTAGTAGGTAAAATCCTAGTTTATGCCCCAAGAACAGATATTTGGATTGCTTGCGAAATAAAAACATTTCAAGAGAAATCGACCAGTCTCGTTTTTTCATAATTTAAAAGAAGCTTACCATGTATTCGGACAATGAGAACCTGAACGTCGCGATTTCAAACATTGAGTTTCAATCCCAACTTTTTAAGTTATTTTTAAATAACAACAGCATTTGAAGATATCGATTGGCATTTCCTTATAAACTCACTAAAAAAGTCAAAACGACAGACAGAACTCATAATAATCTAATACTTCTAATAGGTTGCATTGAAAATCTAAAATAATATCTGACAGCCGTTAATCTTTGGAAAGAATTAAATAGTCCAACTAAAGCTTTTGTTTTAACTTTGACGTAATTACAATAGGGGAGGAATAAGATGGAAAAATGGTTTGAAATTTTTAGGCAAATGCATACAGATTGAACAGTGCTACTTTAAATAATACCACTTTCCTAGGGCTATATGTTAACATATTGCCCCAACCAAAATTTCAAACTCGAGTATTCCTTTATCTTCACTACGCATTCAATGAATGGTTTCCGCACACTCTACTGAAAATTGCCGATTAAATAGTCATATTAATATTATCATAATAACCCCCTTACGTACTTAACATGCCCATAAAGTAGGGCGTCATAAAAAGGGATTACATTAATTTGTTTTTAAAAAAAAACAAATTTACTTTTTTTCTTCAGAGAGGCTCTTTTGAGTCATCCTTCTGTCAAAGACGAATGTTAGAAAAATATATAAGTAGGATTAGTTGGTGATTTAAAAAATTTCAAACCAGCTCTTCATTGAACAACTAGTTATTTTCAATAATTAATTTTAAGGAAAAAATTTATGAAGTCCAACTCACTCAAAGACGGTGATGCGCATTTAACGCTTTGACACTCTAATTGGATCGGTTCCTCGTAGACAGGCTCATACGCATCCTCTTGAGGAGTTTCCACAGCATATCCCATTCTTCTGACCGCCAATTTGTCAGGAATCGGTGTGAAGGTGGACGCCACTTCTACAATCTTCTCAGGCGATGTTGGTGGGGTGTCCGAACACGAGCGAAAAAGGCCCCGCTGTGGACGAAAATCAATAACTCCTCGATCGGTAGATGAGGAAGTGTAGGATGTGATGAGTGAAGAGAGCGTTAAACTAGCTATGGAAGCTGTGGAAGGCGTAGCTGGAGAAGATGGCGAAGAGGGAGCCGGACGACTGGCTGGGGATGGTGGAAAGATGATTGGTGGGGAAGAAGAAAAGACCAAGGTCGGTGCTTGGGGTCTGTGTGGACGATTTTGTCGAGTGATGGGATCAATTCCCTTTTGCTGAAATGGAAGGAGAGAGAGAGAACCTAACTTAGTTAGCTGATCTCTTCCGCGGCTAATCCACTAACCAGTTCCTTAATGAATCTAGAAGGAGCTAATGAGTATTAAATGCGAACAACAAATATATTCCAATACTTATTTGAACTCATAGCAATAATTGCAATTATATGCAATTCGCATTAATAGCAAATGGAGCAAATGCCTTATTTTCATAACTTGGTTTAATGTCTCCCCACCCCCCAACCGTCCACAGGAGTACGTGAATGGCAACAAATGGTAGGAAATTATAGACCACGACTTCAATAAGTAAGTGCAACCAAAAACTTTGGTAATTATTACCAGAATAGCCTTATTCCAGAGTGTTATGTCCCATTTAATAGACAATTACATAATCGAGGGCAAAATAGAAAACTTCGAAAGCTTAGTTGTCCAGTAATTTATAAGCCATTTGTCAACGTTCGAAATATGTTTTTTACAACCAACTCCTTAGCTTCATTTGGCCTTTGACCTAAAAGAAGGAAACACTAGAGGGGGTAGGGGGTTGATAGGAAATGACTACAGATGTCATAAACAGGGGAGTCGTAAAAGAACTATTTTCTCAATTTACATAATAATTTTGCAGCAAATCAAAAAAAGTCTTACATTGACGGCTTCGTGGAAGAGTTCTCTGAATTCCTCGTAGTGTTCAGACAATTTCTCCTCTCTTTCGCCACTGCCTTGAGTCGAAGAGAGAGCAGAAAAGTGTGCAGGAGGGAGAGGAGAAGTAACTGCTGGCACCGAAGCAATGGAGGTTATGATCTCAGGAAATTGGAAACTGGCATCCACGTAGTCCTCATCGCTGAATCCAGCCATTGTAGCTGCACAGCAAGCGCTGTGTTTGTGTTGCTGAGATACCTGTAAGAGGAAAAGAAACGATCAGCAAAGTTTTAAATATTTAGGACAAAGACCGTTCCCAATTGAAAATCCTGCAATATATATCATAACTTATGCATCAAACATGATATAACTACACTTAATAGATATGCAACCTAGATGGTGCCCGAAAATATGTGCTAACACGATATAACAAAGGAATCGTTTCAAATATGAACATTAGATTAAACCCTCTCCAAGGCTCTAATCAAAATAAAATTCTGAATTTGAAATCTGGAAATATTTTGTGAAGGGCATATGACGGTAACTGAGCTTGTCAGATCTCATTCACAAAAGAAAGTTTTGGAATGTGAGGATATGCTTGCAGACACCTCTCTCAGCCAATCAACAGTCGTGCTTATGCAACGTAGAATAAAATTGATTGTATTTAACACCTAAGCATGAGGGAAGTTGATCAACATACGTGATAAGCCTTTTTCAGCGTCATATGCTCTGCTGGCTATTTTCTATTCGCAGAAGCAACTTTTATACAAGGAAATTTTGCTAGAAGGGCTGACTAGGGTTTAGTCAGGCCTTACGTGTGATGATGTAGACACACGAAACAACCTTTACTCACTTACCTTCAGGAGGGTAATTCTACATTTAACTACTGCGTCAATCATATATTAATATATTCGCAATAAATAAGTGTCTTGAAGCGTTCTTTTTCCACGAGATAGAACTTTCTGCTTTAAGACTTGCTAGTCACCATCCTAGTAATCAAAACGAATCAATGGATGGCCAACCGCGTCTTACGAAGTAATGATAATGATAATTATGCTTTAAGGGAAAAATTGATTAAAAGAGGATATATATAAATATTGTAATTTTGGGGTGTTCGATAGACTTACCTCCACGTGGTGCACCCTGGACAACGTATACTCATACGGCAAAAAAGTCAATCAACCGGCAGTTGACTTCTGACTTCAAAAAACCACCACCCCACCACTGTATGTCATATTCGACTACTTTCACAGTACTCACCCCCCACTCTATGCCATATTCGACTATTTCCACAGTACTCACCTTACTGTATGTCATATTCGACTACTTCCACAGTACTCACCTCATTGTATGTCATATTCGACTACTTTCACAGTACTCACCTCAACCGTATGTCATATTCGACTACTTTCACAGTACTCACCTCACCATTTCTTCTACCTTTGTGCCTGTCTCTTATACATCTTTGAAACACTCTTCTGTCCCTCCCCCCTCTTAACTTTTTTTCACTTTGATTTTCCTCCCCTCTGTGAAGCCTGAAGTCAACTAAAGGGCTATTGATGACTGTCAAGACGCCTGCCATTTGATATAAATAAATAAATACTTAAATTTTTAGCGCATTAATGGAAATTGCCAGAGAAATGCTCTATCATTAATAAACAATGAGATAATAAAGAAATGATAAAGATATTCCAAGGAAATTTAATTCACAAATAGGAAGAACAACCGACTCCAGAATTAGTCCTTTCCTAAAAGCTTGGTAGTAAAATCTTCGGGAGGGGGTTGGGTGAACAGGCGTTTTCCACTTCGAACAGCAGTAGTTGCATTAAGTGCACCCATCAATTACAAAGGTAACAAAAAATTGTCTAAACTGACATTTAAAAAGGTTTATTTATTTGGAGCGAATTTAAAGAATGAGTGTGTCTCAACTAACATAGATTTGTGAAAGAGATCAAAAATTGTACCTCGTTTATTTATTGTTAAAGGAAAAAATATAATCCGTAACCCATAATTGGACACCAATGATAAATAATTCGGTTAATAGAACATGAATAGGGTTCTGATAAAACCTTTATCTTCAGGGTTTGTTGAAAAGTACATCCTTTTGATGCCTCATATGTGCAATTCGCTTTGGAAGAAACCAGATTGATATACTTCTATCCGCAATGAAACCCTTACGTACCAACAAGCTGGCTACCCTAGCTTGTCATTTTAAGATCCTTAAAGCTGTGTAACAATATGGAAGAGCATTATGCAGTCTCTGCCTTAGAAAAAAATTCCTTGAGGCGATAAAACTGAACACCATAAATTAACAACCGATTAATGAGCATTTAACAAAGATTAAGCAACTACTTTTGAGTGGTGATTATTGCAATTTGAATTTTGGGGTATGAACTAAGCATTAACTAGCTAGTTTACAACCCGAGTACAAAAACCAACTGATGTAATAGAGCCTTTGAGGATTCGTTCTTACTCTAACCAACTTTCCAAGCCCCGGCCCTCTTTCATTGATTTTTATAATCTACTGTATATCGATTCCCATTTATTCCGCAAATAAAAACAAATTATTGACTTTCAATATTCGGCATGATTTAATACCGCCCACGGAATGTTTTAAGTGCAAGCGTTCGAAGAACACGGCATAAAAAATGGATTAGTGTTTTTTTGTCGGTACGCATAGATCGCTTTTATTCAACTGCATTCTTTGCCAACTTGGCCCAAATATCAGTGCAAATGCAAGTTTTTAATGCCTATTGCCCAGTTAAATTACAATTAAATGCGAACTTCAAATTCAGTGAGGAAAAACATTAAAGAAAAGTCTTGTTTTGTGACTAAGAAAGTTGTAGCTTAGGCAAAGACAGTGAAATTAAGGAGATATTAGATAACTAAAAAAAAAAATTTAAATAGAAAGTAAATCAAAGCATTCGCATTCATTTTCTCGAGTCGATTAGAGCTCGATTTCAACCATAAGCGCTATTTGCAGTCTCTGTACCGATTTAAAATAAGAGGCCTCACATTAAAATTCATCAATATCTTCACAATTGAAAATCGATAACTTAGTACCTCCTTGAAAATATAAATGTTTGCCGATTTTGAGAGCTTTTCAACAGCAAAAATCCACGTATATGAGGCCGAGGGTTCGCTGATTAGTTAGTTTTTTAATCCACATTTACTCATTCATATGACAAAGTGCATCAAAGTGCGGATTTCACGAAAAATTCTCGTTCGGTTCACTCAATGGACTCTAATGGGCGGGGAGGGGGGGGGGTTTAACCGTTGAAGATTGAGAAGACGGCCAAAAATGTGGATGCCTGTAATCACGCCATAGCCAAGTAAGCACATTCTACTCCATATTCAAAAGAAACAACGATATAAGGAAAGACGTGACGTTATAACTCCACTTTACCTCGTGACACCTTATTTACTCTGCCAAAGTTGTCAAATTAGCGGTCTGGTGTTGTGGCATGGCAACACATTTAAGACCACGATAGTGTTAGCGTTTGGAATGTTAAACACCAACCCTACCCTGCTTTTATTACTTTTTTCGCAATCATTCTTTCCTATGAAATTGTCAACCCCGGCCAACAAGAACAAGGGGAGCTCTTAAAAAGACGTTTATATAACAAGCTTCTCTGTTTTCTAACTTAATAATTGTTGCATCTTTCCAAGTTGTCCCATAACTTGCCTATCGATACGATTTATTTCCTTAATTTCTTGATAATATATGTGAGAATGGTGCGCATAATAAGAAGTCAATTAAAAGTACTTCTATGGGCGATTGAATACACCTAATTAGTCTGGTGACGTGGAGGTTTAGGGACGCAAAAAGCATCACCCACGCTGTCGAAATATACCAAAAAAAGGTCTACTGGACTTGCTAGATGGTGAAAAGAAGGATAATTTAATTAACATCTTCTCTTAGTATGCTCATTATCGCTCATCTCTACCGAAAGCATACTCACTCATGTAGTTGGCTTTCACACGGATGTCAACTTAACCTCATCACTGATCTCCCATTGGCTCACACACTTGAGCATGACAATACATAATGGACACCTAGTATCTGTATCTATATATATATATATATATATATATATATATCAGTTACTTTTTTCAAATTAACTACCCAATTTCTACCTACCTCGAGAACACAACAAAGCCCACGTTTCCCTACAAATAGAATAACGTCGTAATAAAAATTTCAAGGCGTTTGAAGTAAGAAATGAGTAGATGCTTGTGAGTATTGCTTTAAAGAATTAAACACAAAGAATGTATGGCAAAATAATTAAATCAGTTGCGAGGAAGCGGAGAAACTCCTTTAACCTCATCGCTACCAACGACTGGAAAACATATAATCTTCAATTATAATTGTTGACCATGACGAATTTCACTATTACCAAGTGAACAGTAAACTCACACGGTAGTTTGTAGCCAATATCGGAGAATATCGATGAAAGAATTCACTCGAAGGAACTCTCGTTATCGATAATTGGTGGGATTGCCTATTTGGAAGACTATTGTGCTGAAATTCCCTATGGCGGTGTCGACACATTTCACAATCATCGCCCTGAGAACACCGACTCTCCACTGTCCCCGTCCGATTGGTTGTCAGTGCGTAATCAGGCGAATAACTTAAGAACCACGAACTCATATCTCCATTCAGGACCTGGCGATAGAGTTCTAAAAGCGAAAGAAGACATTATTTTGGGTAGAAGGTGCCCAAACGCGATATCTGTTGGCTAAGCTTACCAAATTCACGAGCATTTTCAGATTGTACATGCAAAAAGGCCAGAGACGGTCTAAAGGGTTTATTCGACAGGGCGTCTCCAGATGCCTCTGAAACCATATCGTCCTGCAGACACCGTGGTAGGCAATGGCCATTTAGCCGTGGATGCCATATTCGACAGGTCTGTTGAGCAGCCAAGCCATTGATGAGTTGACGTGGTCGTGTAGCATCTGAAGGCGACACAGCAACAAGCATCAGGATCAAACTGCGATCATCCTCATCTTCCAGAGAAGACAGAGTCGAACTGGCAGTATTGAGGAGAATTTCGAGCTGAGAAGTGATCTCACCGCAGAGCTTTGCCCACTGACTAGTAGGAAAGTGTAAAAGGACAAAGCGACATCTCGCGACAGTGGATTGAAGTTGAGAAAAGAGTTGAAGGGCCTAGAATGCGATAAAATGGAATCACGGTTGGAGGGCAAAGGCATCTACCTTGGCTGGATTTTTGGCCTAGAATTTCACGAACGTAATCATAAATAGAAAGCTATTAATGAAGTGAACTGAAGCAATTCCTGTTATATTCGTAGCTCCATGATATTAGAATACAACCAGCCAATTGCTTTTCAGTTCTGAATTCATGCTGAAACTTACTTTTCCAGCCATGAAATTTGAATTAATGGGCATAAGGTTATATGCCTAGATTTTTTTCATCTGCTCGAACTATCCCTCTCTATTTGTTAATTGAATATTATACTAATTCGGACATGACTTTGAAAAGGTTTTGAATGGTAGAAATGCAAAATCTAATTCACCCATTTTCTAAATAAATTTACATAATCAAAGACATTGAATTGGTAATAAAATGAATATGATATCGAATAGACGGAATCGATTGGTTTAAACTTCCCATGCATGACTCTAAAATTCTTCAAATAAGATGTTTAACTATAGGCCCGAGAAAAGAACGTTGCGATCAAAAAGCTAGTCTTTTGAATATAAATTAAAACCTCATTTTGATTTCTAGTGACATGGCAATAATTTCATTGAATAATCGGGTCTATTCTAATTTATCTATGCTCGATCTCGATCAAATTTCCCTTAATTTATATTTATCTGTTTTACTGCTCGTTTCCATTAGATGATTTCTCGAGAACTTCTTGCATTGGATTTCACCTATGACTGAGGTCATACATAATTTCATTCCAGTAAAGCCCAGGATGTTTGAATCTAATTTCAAATATTGCCCTTAAAATGAAATACGGATTTGAATATCATTAACGCAGTGTGAGTAATTAGCACTGTACTGCGGCGTCGCATTTGCACAATTACAAGCCAGTCATCTGAAATATTGAAAAATGTGATTTTACATGCATTGTGTATGGTCGTGTGTCTACGTTAATGCGTAATTTGAATGCTAATTGGCCTGCTGAGGGAAGAAGAATATGGAGATGAATGAAGGGGTGAGTGTAAGTGTGAATTGAGAATTGGGGTATCTAAGCGCACATAATACATGGGCAACAGTCTCTCCGCTCTCGTAATTGCCCTCCCCCCCCCGCTTCACTCTATCCAGGGTTGTTTCATTGAAGAGCAAAGTCGCTTTCTTTAACCTGGAAATAAGGGGAGGGGGCAGATAGGTTACTCAAGCTAGCTATGCCTTACCGTCTTTAAAATAAGAATATAGAATTATGTAACCTAAGTAACTATATGGCGAGCTAAATCTATGACTCACCTAAGTTATTAGCTGTCTTTGACTCTAGATATCGATTTCCGTTACGCTGCTTGCAACTTTATTAATTATCACAGTACTTTATGTGGAGTGCAGCAGTGGCCGCATATCGATTTTATTTACGCCTATTTGATTGTGTTCTATATATGAAAATAAGAATGTATTTAAGTCACTTAAAATATTACATTTCACCTCGCTGGTTGCATAATGCGTTTTCGAATAAAATCAGTATTGAATCTTTTTTCCTCAATAAATAGGCATTATACCTAGGCACTATGCCTGGAAGCAGCGGTGTTTGTGAAACTGCACCTATTTAGATTCGCTTGATGTTTTCCGCGATATTTGTACAAATATTTACATATAATAGTAAAGGCGTAAAATGACGTAAATACGTATTTTCAAGTCAATGACAAATTAGTACTAACACGATCTGCAACGCTTCTAAGTATTAATGAATGAAAATGAATCCAAAAATCGACGTTCCATTGAAAGGAAAATGATATCATATTTATCTTAATGGATTTAGAGCTAACTAATTTGGGGGTACACGAACAGTTGATCGATGAAAAGTTTGTCCATAACGAATTTTCCTTTTACACACCGGTTCTCTCCTATGCCTTTGCAGTAGCGTTAGTAAATTGCATGTATTTAATAATAACTATCATTAAAAGACTGATGTCGCCGTCAAAAAATACACATAAAGAAAACACAAGTCTTCTCTCAATTGTGATCAAAACTAAACTGCTAGCACAAATAATTTAGCGTCGAAATCTTCTAAGTTAGGCCTCTTTCTGTTCTACTTGAACTTTGATTTGATTTAAGCACCAATAGATTATCATTCATTTAATCAAATTATTTAAGCAAGTGATCACCAGCTTTTGTTTCACCGAGACAAAATAGTAGTGGAAACTAAAGCAAAGCATGAATTTAGTACGGGAGACGTTCTTTCTCTAAAGTTCGGAGATATTATGCCTCAAAATGTACGCTTTCTAACCTATATTCAATGGAAACGCATTGAATTTCCAAGAGGGGGAATATGATTTCATTATTTAGAAATCCAAATTAGATGATAGATGGCCCATTTTTATCAAACAAATGTGCGATAGACTTACCTCCATGTGGTGTACCCTGGGCAACGTATACTCATACGGCTAAAAAGTCTATTAACCGGCATTTGACTTCTAACTTGAAACTACCACGACCCCCCTGGTTGTCATATTCGACCCCTTCCACAGTACTCACCTTACCTTTTTCTCTACCTTTGTGTCTGTCTGCCTCTTTTACATCTGTGAATCGCTCTTCAGTTCCCCACCCCTTGACTTTCTGCTACTTTGATGAACCTTCCCTCTGTGAAGCCCAAAGTCAGCTAAATGGCTAATGATATCTATCAAAACGCCTGCCATTTGAAATAAATGAGTCAAACAAATGTTAAATCTCACTTTAAGAGATTTAAAAGTTGCTGTGTTTTTCTGCAGTCAACTGCCCTGCCAAAAAACCAATTTAGGATCAGGTCATGTGTGTAACTGGGTCAGTATAGCTATCTCAATACGCAATTCACATGAAATTATTCTTTCAAGGTCACAATATTGCTCGATTTAGTAAGCCCAGATTATTTAGACTTTGCAGATATATAGCGGTAGGAATTTTGTCCAACCAGGTATTATGAGCCTCCTTTATACCCTATAAACCTTTTCGGCAAAAAATGTCTTCACTTCATCACCACAAACTCATGCACCT